AATACGCAATGGAAGCATATATATATAAAGGTATTTCCGACCACCATTAATTGTGGTCGGAAAAGGTATATTAAAATTCATACCGCCGACAGTTTCTGACCACTATTAGTATGTGGTCGGAATTTCCGACCACCTACTAATAGTGCTTGGAAATTCCGACCCCCTTACCCACTCGCCCGAAAAATGCGAAAACATGATATTTCCGACCACTTTTTGTGGTGGTCGAAAAAGTGATCGGAAATACGATGATTCCCAGCAGTGCTCCTTGCTTTAAACTGTAGATTTCACTTTGTAGGATCGAAATGCGTTGAGCATCTTGCTACGAGAATCTTCTTCTAAGATCTTCCCATATATCTCTAGCATTATCAAAGTGCATTACGCTCTGTGCGATAGATTGATGCACAGACTTGAAGATCTAAGAACATATCATCAAGTTACAGCGCCTCCACGCTGCATACTACAATTGATCACTGTTCGGCGGCGTGGTGCTTCCATCGATCAAGGTCCACTTGTTTTTCACTTCCAAGGCGATCCGCATGGATATAGACCAAGTACTGTAGTTTGAATTCCCTGTTAACGACGAACTCACAAGGATCGCGCATTGATTGTCATTCGCATTGATGAAGAGAGGATTCTCCAATTCCTCTGTATTGTAGTTCCTCTGCGGCTGAGTAGATAGATTCCTCTGCGGGATCCCCTCTAGAGCAGTGCGACTGGAGATCGAATGATCGACGTTGTGGTGTGCGTTGCTTTGTTGGTGTCTCCAACGCCGGAGATGGCGACGACGTAGGAGGTGTGCCGTGGCTCTGGTACCACGATAGACATGGCTACATGGACGGTGGAATGAAAAATAGGCTAACTGTGTGTATTGCCGATTGTAGTATATTTGCAAACAAATAATACCCGGAGTATATTTGCAAACAAATAATACAGGGAAGTGGTTGTATTAAGCACTAGCTACTAATTTATTCTATAAAGCTAATCCTAACGATTGACTTGGATGGTTGCATAAAATAAATAAATAAAATAAAGCAATGATTCAAGGTAATGAAAACAATAGAGAGAGACTGAGATCCTTGGGATTCAAGTGTTTAATCCCCAGTGCCTAGCCTAATGTTATATTAATTCTGGGTTCATATGAGCATGAGGATGCACAGTGGTATAGAGCTACTCTCGTAGTCACTAACACTGGTGAATTTACTCTTGTGGCCTAAACACCCAATAAAACAAGAACAAGCATCATAAATTCCTAACTACTACCATCTCTCGATGTGCAATAATCATTAATTAAACTCCCTAACAAAATTACCCTTTCTCAAGGTGCAATAGTTAGGTGCAATTGTGTGTGCCCTAAGTTATGTCCAACTCTCGTTGTGACACAAACAAAGCAAACGAAACAAGTAACTATAGCCACTAATTTCAAGCATCAAACAATATTATCACAGTACAATTGCAACACAAGTATTAAACCCAAATAATAATATATTAAAGAATCTGAGAGCTTAGGCACATAGGTTCATAAACACTTTTACCCAAGAATATCTAAAGAATTTAGTCAAGCATGACTAAATTATACATAGCAAATAAATTTAAAGAATTACAAATCATCAAAAGAGTACAAGAATGAACTAGGAAATTTTCTCAAATCTCCCTGGTCTTCTTCTTGATTCCCAAGACAACTTGCGGCTCTTGATTTCTCTCTTTCTTGTCTCCAAGGATCACTGAATGAATATTAGGGCTAGAGAATGTGGGATTTTATAGCTAGAGGCCTAGATTCAATCCCGGTTGAAATAGAATTCTGTGCGAAATTGGACTGAAATTGCGTCTCGGACCGAAATTGTAATTTCCTATTTATTTTGGAAATCTTTTAGCTTGGGAATCATCTCCCCTTTTAATTAAATAATGACCTTGAAAACCGCGCCTCAATAATGTGGAAGACTATTGCATGTCGCGCCGCTCGACGCGTCGAGAAATAAAGTCGACGTGTCGAGTTTAGGCGTCGTTTTCTCCCCAGCGACAAATGCCTTTTCGACGCGTCGAGTTTAGGCGTCATTTTCTCCCCAGCGACAGTTGCCTTTTTTACGCGTTAAGAAATTTCTCGACGCGTCGAGTTTCCTGTGCGTGAACCAAAATTGTTTCTGTAAATTTTGGACGCGTCGAACCTGCTGGGTATGCATCTTTTGGTCCACTTTGACTCTAAATTTGTCCTAGAACTTCCCTTGCTCATTGAATTGACCTACAATGGTTCAAAAACACTAACAAACACCGTAACATTCAAAGCAAGTGTGAACCATAACTAAACAATAAAACAAGGGATTATGCAATTAAAATACCAAAATTATGAACTTAAGCCTACCAAATGTAATTAAATCAATACTAGAAATATGCACAACTAGGCTCACATCAATTGCATAATGAAGTCTCTCAACGTTACAAGGAAGAAGAAGGAAATGTTATATACGTTATAACTAACTCAAGAAGATGAAAGGACCTAAGTACCCCTCAACTAACTACACTTGTTAACAACTTCAGTTTCTTCTTCTTGCTCGTCTTCCTTGTGCTCCAATATTTTGTACTAACTTTATATTTTTTTTTTATTTTCTTTCAATTCCTAAATTTAATTTAATTTTTAAGCTAATGTTTACATTTAGAATTTGTAATCAGTTTATTTTAATATTCTAAATCTTTGATAAATTGCGTATTTTAATGATTATGTTTATTTTGATATTCTATTTATATTATTTTTAGAAATATTTGTATAAGATTTTGATGAGATAAAAATGTAATTTGAATTGAAAAATATTAGAATCGCCAATTTTATTGTATTTAGTGTTTAGGAAAATTTCTAGAGTTACTTGGTTCAAGATATTTTAAATTTAGGTGGAACAAATAAATTTATTTGAGACAAGAAAAAAAAATCAATTCCCTAATATTATTATTTGGAGTAAAAGTGGCGTAGGAATTGTCTATCTTTCTTGAAGGAGTAGCAAAGCTTGTAGAAGGCGGATTGCCCTAGTCCAAGCCAGCCCAAGTAGAAGTAGAAGAGATCAGATACGGCAAATTATGCTGTGGACTCGTGTTCACAATGCATTGTGGTCGCGAGTCCAAAACGACTTTGTTTTTAGTGAAAATGACTGTATTTCACTTTTATATATATATATATATATATATATATATATATATATATATATATATATATTTTGAAAGGTTCCCGTGCGTTTGAATGCTTCCTGTGCAGTTCTGCGGTTGATTAATGTGCGTGAGATTTGTGCTTAATGTGCCTGAGATTCGTACTTAATGTGCGTGGATGTGTAAAATGCAGCAGAAAATATGGATGTCAGCTTCTTCCCCATCTCCAGTAGCCATTGCCCCTTCCCTGATGATGATGATGCGGGACCGGCTATGGTGGTTAAGAATTATGGGAATAATACAACAGAAATCCACACTTAGCTGGTGTGTAAATTTTGCTGTGCGTGCGTCATCTATATAAACATTCAATGCACTGAAGGTAGCTGATAATCCAAAATCCATGGCCAAATTGAAGGAAGAAGTAATAAGAAGCTTGGGCGTTAATGTGTGTGAGTTTTCTGTTCTGCTTCCTTCTGAGCTCGTAATTCTGAACTACTCACGCACATTAAGCACAAATCTCACGCATATTAAGCACAATACTCAGGCACATTAAGTACAAAACTCACGCATATTAACATTACGCACATTAAGTACAAATCTCAGGCACATTAAGCACAACACTCACGCACATTAAGTATAAACCTCACGCACATTAATCCACTGCACAACCGCACGGGAAGCCACAAATGCACCTGATCCCTTCCCTATATATATATATATATATATATATATAGATTTTGGTTCCTGTGAGGTTAGGTCTTCCCGTGCGGTCAGTGCGGCATACACCATTAGGTATGTATAAATGCATCATACAATGTTCGAAAATACACCAGAATAAAATGCTAAAAAATACACCACACAAAAAAAAAAAAAATACACCACATAATGGTGTATTTACGAACACTGTGTAGTGCATTTATGCATACCTAATGGTGTATGCCGCACTGACCGCACGGGAAGACCTAACCTCACAGGAACCTGACCCTATATATATATATATATATATATATATATATATATATATATATATATATATATATATACCAATTTACTTCTTCACTACCCTGGAGGGAGATGAAATTCCACATTAATTTTATGGACAAAAAACACCACAAAATACCAGAAGACTAATTAATAGGATTCTACCAATATAATTAATTGGTCTAGAGTGGCTATACTTGACTACCCAACGACGGTCGTTGACACTTGACAGGTTAACAAGACGACATAAGGAGTAAGTTCAACAACACCTACTCTACTGGTAACAATGTAATCAAGAAAGCTCAGCTCATTCTTCTTCCCATTATCACTACTGAAAATTCTGAAATTTCCGACCACCTGAAAGTGATCATAAATTAAGTTGAAAGTCTTGTTCCGACCACTTTTGGTATCCGGAAAAACCTTTGTTGCTATTTCCGTCCACTTTTTGGATTTTTTAGTATCAACTTAATTTAAGATCATTTTCAGGTGGTCGGAAATTTTAGAATTTCTAGTAGTGTATTAATAATATTATATTCCAGCCATTTCTGTAATTTTTTTATTTTTATTATTATTATTATTATTATTATTATTATTATTATTATTATTATTATTATTATTATTATTATTATGTAGCAAACCATTTCTGAAATATATTACGGATAAATGGGCAGAATTATTTATTGTATTAATTCATGTAACACCTCCATTCTGCCACTTGCCAATTAAGAATATAATATATTATAATAGACTAACAAACTAGCTTAGCTACTGCAAATAAGAATACAATTTTATTTTATTTTATTATTGCGTGCGGAAAATAGTACAGTATTATTATTGATGGTGTATGTAAATTAAACAGGACTAAAGTAGCTAGCAAGGTATATTATAATATATTAGTGTATGAATTAACATACAGGAGTAGTAGGAATCAAGAAAAGGTCATTGTTTCTTGCTACAGCCAATCCATGCCTCTCTGTCATGTCCAATGTTTCACCTGTAACTCCAGCAGGCAGCTTCCAATCAAAGTTGTAGAGCAAGTGTGCTAAAGGAGACAAAGTGTTGGCCAAACCAAATACAAGTCCGGGACATATTCTCCTTCCACCACCAAAAGGTAAAAATTGGAAGTGATTTCCCATGAAATCAATTGAGCTGTTGTCAAATCTCTCGGGTGTAAAGTTATCAGGGTTTTCCCAGTATTGAGGGTCCCGGCCAATCGCCCACACATTAATCAACACTCTAGCCCTCTTTGGGATGGTGTATCCGCAGACCACAGTTTCTTCTCTGCATTCTCTGGGAACTAACAAGGGAGCCGGAGGATGACACCTAAATGTTTCTTTGACCACCAACTTTAGGTATTCTAATTGTTCAATGTCATCCTCCTCCAACTTCTCTTTCCCTCTAAAGGCTTCTCTCACCTCGGCTTGCGCTTTGGCAAGCACCCTAGGATTTTTCATCATTTCCGACATTGCCCACACTACCGTCGTTGCAGATGTCTCTGTTCCTCCTGCAAATATATCCTGCACACATAGGAAGTGTTTGGTAAATAGTTGTTATCAATTGGATCAGAGTTTGACTTTTAGCATGCAAATCAGCTTAGTTGCTGATTACATGCAAAATGACTTTTTTAAAATGCTAATCGAAAAAGTAGCTTTTTGAATTTTAACATTTTGGAATAATAGACTATTACAACAAGTTAATTAATCAAACACTAATATTGATAGTTTAACCAAGTCAAACAACGAATTAATAATAGTCAAATAATAAGTCAAAATTAATTGATGAGTAACTTATGTTATCAAACAGGTCATAATATATATTATTATTAGTATGTGGTAATTAAACTACTATATATAATATATACATACGATGATGATGCCTTTGATGATGTCGTGGGTGATAGGCAGTTGAAGGCCACCGTTTTTCTCAAGTTTGATGAGGACGTCAATTAAATCGTCACCACCCAACTCACCACTTCCCTTGTTGCCACTTTCTAAGTTCTTTTCGTGTTGTTTTATGATGTTCTCGATAATTGCATTTGTTTTACGATGAACTTTTACGATCTTATTCCTGTTGCCGCAGAATCCTTGAAGAAACTTCAATGAGGGAAACACATCCGTAAACTCGAATTCTCCTAGCAAGAATTGAATCTCGTTCACTAGCTCAATTAAATCTTCTCTCCCACTGAATACCCTACCTATTATATTATATTATATTACAAGTATAAATCAAAATGAACGTACCAATAAACTCAATAACATGCATGTGCATAAATTTATAGGTAACAGTTCACTTTTGATTTTATTTTTTTATCAGAACATTCTTATTTAGTCTTAGTATTATTGTGACATGACCATTTTTGTCCTATGTCAACAAAATCGTTGAAATATCGTTAAATACAGAATATTTTGATTTTTCTTTTTTAATATAAAGTAGGTTGACTCACTATATTTTTTTATGTTTATTTTTTTCAAAAAATTCATAATTAATGACTGAAATGTCCTTGTATTTAAGGGTATTTTGTTGATAAATAACAAAAAATGTTAATGTCACAATAATACTAATCCCAAAAGTATATATTCTCAAAAAAAAAAATTAAAAGTGGACAGTCACTTATAAATATAAGATTAAAATAAAATATCGTAGATTATATATACTCCTTCCATCCAATTTTATTTGTCTAGTTCTTGACAGAAGTTATTTTTAATTCAATTTTTCATAATATAAAGTGTAGTATTAATATATAAAATTTATATATTTAGAAACTATATTTAAAAAAAAATACTATTAAGCACAAAAAATTAAATTTAAAAATAATTACAAATTATTAAAAAATAAACAATTGAAAAAAGTTGATTTGATGCCATAAATAAATAGTAAACAAACAACAAACAGATAAAATGAGACAATGGAGTATATTATATTAGAAAGAAATTGGCAGTTAATAATAAATAATCTTAATTACCCATTGCCGATCTGCATATAAGGGAGCTGGTAAACAAGGAGATTCTCTCAGACAGATTGACCGGACTCCCCAGAGATGACCGGACGTGAGTCAACAGCCGATGGATCTCATCGCTTCTGATGGAGCTGAAGGAGCGGATAAGTTTGGGGTTTAGGAGCTCCATCACACATATTTTGCGCATTTGTCTCCAGTGATCACCGTACGGGGACATCACAATGTCGGAGCAATTGTAGAGGATTATTTTGCTGCTCAAGATTTCCGGCCGGCTCGCGAAAACCAGGTCGTGAGTTCTGAGGAACTCTTTCGCCATCTCACTCGACGACACCACCACCGCTGACACTTCTCCGATTTGGAGGTGCATGAGGCCCGACGCGCTGCCGTGCCTGTAAAGGTGAGAGAGTCATATATATTAATCACAGCAAGTACTGTCTATTTATAGTCCAGTGATAAAGTTACAACAAAAGAGAAAAAAGGTGGAAATCGAATTAAAAGGAACTATTCTAAAGGAGAGTTACTGCAACAACACTAAATAATACAGCAAATATAAAAGGAATAATACAATTAATCTTTAACAGTGCCTTTTCGCTAAATCGCTAAGGAGGCGGTGGGCGGGCAGTGATGAGCCGGCCAAGTGGAACAAGTTCCCGACGATCGGCAGCTTCCACGGGCCTGGCGGCAGGGGATTTGCCTTCTTCTTCCACCGTTTATGGACTAAAATGAAGAAGAAACAAAGAAAAAGGGTGAAAGAAACGAAGTTGATTATTGCGGCCTCCATTAGTTAAAGAGCAAGCAATTTAGCTAGATATATGATATATCTGTCTGATCTTATGCCTCCTTTATTAAAACCCATGGCCGCCCTTATATACAATATTTCGTATACTACTTTTCTAAATAGAGTAATATTATATTTTTCTAAATAGAGTAATATAATGCTACTCATGACTCATCCGCTTACATCTCTTATTAGATGATTAAGTTTTTAATTGAGTAAATACCAGCAGAGGTCCTCCAACTTTAGTGGCACTGCCACTTGTAGTCCTCAACTTTTAAATCAACCACTTTTAGTCCTCTTACTTTTTGTTTCTAGCCATCTATAGTCCTTCTGTTAAATTTGGCCGTCTAATGCCGTTTTCTCAAAGGTAATTTGGTCCTTTCATAATTAATTTATTAATTATTATGTTTAATTTTCTCATCAGAATAGTCAAACAATGGTTTCCCCAATGAAAGCGGCGACGAATTGTGAATGCATATATGGATTCACGAGCTGGTTTTGTACACGTTCATGGAGAAACTATTGTTTGACTATTCTGATGAGGAAACTAAATATAATAATTAATAAATTAATTATGAAAGGACCGAATTACCCTTGAGGAAACGACATTAGACGACCAAGTATATCAGAAGGATCATAGATGGCTAGAAACAAAAAGTAAGAGGACTAAAAGTGGTTGATTTAAAAATTGAGGACTAAAAGTGGCAGTGCCACCAAAGTCGGAGGACCTCTGCTGGTATTTACTCTTTTTAATTAATAACAAATTTCAAACTCAATGATTATATATAAGTCGAGCTAATTCCCAAAATGTCATCCAACTATTGATTTCTGAACTTTTAATTGCACCCAAAGTGATCCTCCGACTATTGAATTTTAAGTCAAAATAGTCCTCCGTTAGTTTTGGTGTTAAGTGGATGTTAAAATGAGGAGTAAAACTGTTAATTTAGGGTCTTCACTATAGTCAAAGGACTACTTTGGTTGCAATTAAAAGTCAAAGAATTTGAACTATCTAGTTAATATTTTAAAAGAAAATTTCATTTTTATGAAGTATTTTAGTTAATATATATATTTTAAAATTTTCAACTATGTATTATCGTATTTAAATTAATATAAAATACTTAGAGTTAATCTAATTAAATTAAAAAGTATTTATGAATATATTAATAGTGCTGAGTTTGTTTCATATATGGATTAGGAATATGAGTTTGTCTTATACTAGGAGTAGGAGTGAAACGGGTAGACCCATTGTATAGGGATTAGATGCCTATTAATATATTGGTTGTATCCCTAATGGGTTGTGTCACCACAATCACCATCATTATGAATAAGAGTATTGTTTCACTCCCGTGGATGTAGGCACATTGCCGAACCACGTAAATCTTGTCTTCTTTACCCTATTTGCCATTATTATTGTTTCTTGTTCTTGTTAATCTCAACAAAATGGTATCAGAGCACTGTTGAGATGGTTAGTTCAAGTACAAAATTCGAGGTATCAAAGTTTGATGGTATAGGGAATTTTGGGTTATGGCGGTCTAGGGTAAAGGATTTGTTGGCATATCAGGGCCTTCTGAAAACCTTAGGGCGGAAAATCCAGCAAATCTGGAAGAGGCTGATTGGAAGGAGTTGAAGAAGCAGGAAGCTACGGACGTGGTACATGCTGATGAATCTTATTATAGTGAAGGTGATGTTCTAGCGGTAACTAGTAACAAGTTCGAACATTGTTTGGACTTGTTGGGCGTTTCTAGATGCTAGATGAGAAGGTGGTGAGGGGCGCTGTAGTGTTGGGCAGCGCGGATACCAGGAGGGGTCGTGGACTTGGTATCGATATGGGTCAATATTGGCTCGGTATGAGTTGGGCTTGTCATGAGTCACAGTTGGTATGAGCTGGGCTAATATGGCTTGGTGTTACGGATTGCTTGGGACGAAGCAGTTCGTGAACATGCACGGGGAAACGTTTGATGCTACGTGGTGCGTGTTGCTGACCAGTGGTAATTGCTGGTTAGTGGAGCATTGGACAAGGCACACGAGTTTAGTGTGACCTTGCAGGGGCGCTGTTGTGTTAGGGGCAGCGTGGATACCAGGAGGAGACATGGACCTGGTATGGGCTAGATGCAGGAGCTCAGCTAAACGGGACAGTAAGCATGAGTCGCGGCTGGTATAACAGGTCGACGGCTGAGGGGCGAATGGCTTGGGACAAAGCGGTTCGTGTACATGCTGAAAAACGTTTGATGCTACGTGGTGCATATGGCTGGCTAGTTGGGATGAACATGGTTGTTCCTACCCATGTGTATATGTGAGATAAGTTTTTTTCTCCTAAGGGGCATATTGTGAAGGTGGAGATGGTGAGATAAGTCTTTTCTCCTAAGGGACATATTTGCCAAGGTGGAGATTTGTTGAGTTATCTTTTTCTCCTAAAGAGCATATTTGCAAAGGTGGAGATAGTCTTTTCTCCTAAAGGGCATATATGTGAAGTTGGAGATGGTGAGATAAGTCTTTTCTCCTAAAGAGCATATTCGTCAAGGTGGAGATTTGTTGAGTTATCTTTTCTCCTAAAGACCATATTCGCCAAGGTGGAGATTGTTGAGTTTGTCTCATATATGGATTAGGAATATGAGTTTGTCTTATACTAGGAGTAGGAGTGAAACGGGTAGACCCATTGTATAGGGATTAGATGCCTATTAATATATTGGTTGTATCCCTAATGGGTTTTGTCACCACACTCACCATCATTATGAATAAGAGTATTGTTTCACTCCCGTGGATGTAGGCACATTGCCGAACCACGTAAATCTTGTCTTCTTTACCGTATTTGCCATTATTATTGTTTCTTGTTCTTGTTAATCTCAACAAATAGCGATGATATACAATTTATTACAACCATTTCATATTTTATTATAAATATTCTTTTATCACGATTTGAAATTTTTTATTTTATTTTTCACCTCCAGTGACCAACATTTTTGGTTCTACCCCTACCCCTATAAACCAATATTGTATTTTCGTAATAGACAATGATTTTTTTATTATCTTTCTTACCCGTTTGTATTTAACTTTTTTTTTCTTTTGTTTTAATAAGCAATGGTTTATATCTGTTGTCCATTTGGTTGTAATTTTTCACAATAGTTTTGTCATTATATGTATGCCTATTTATGATCATAGAAAATCAAAATCCAAATACATAATTTCAAGCATTCCTGAATAAAGAGTTGATCCAAAGTTAATGTTAGTTTGTACAACTATATATAAGTACTAGGCTAATAATCAAAATTATTTTTAAAAAAAAAATTTCTAGCTAACAATTAAAGTAAAAAGATTATTTATTTAGAAAATGAAAATAAGTACAAGATCAACTCCTTTTAATCAAAATGAGTATAAATCATGTTTGAACTATAAAGAGAAAATTCCTAAAATGGTCCTCCGACTATGACCTTTTCTCAAATTGGCCCTTTGACTTTTAATTGCACCCAAAGTAGTCCTTTGACTATAGTGAAAACCATAAATTACCAATTTTATCCATCATTTTAACACCCACTTAACACCAAAACTAACGGAGGACCATTTTAGCTAAAAATTCAATAGTCAGAGGACCACTTTGCGTGCAATTAAAAGTCAAGGAACCAATTTGAAAAAAGACCATAGTCGGAGGACCATTTTGAGAATTAACTCATATAAGTCAACAAATAAAGAAGTTGATTATGGCGGCTTCCATTAGAGAAAGCTAGCTAGAGCAAGCAATTTAGCTAGATATATCTGTAGCGTTATGCTATGCAACCGTGTGCACCATGCAAGATGCACACGGAATTGGATTCATAATTTCTATATTATAGATATATAATTTTTATACTATAGATCCATAATTTCTATACTATAGATTCATAATTATTGAAACTTGCATGAGCAGCTCAACTAGTCATAGGGGTATAGTTTGAAAAGAATGATCAAAGATCGAGTCTCACCAGCGGCAGTGTAGGAGTAACCTCTTAAAGTGAGGGGAGAGCAGCGGTAAGCACAGTGAACAATGAATGTGAAGTGGGCAAATTATTGTGTGTGGAACATAACAAAAAGTACATTTTAATATACCAAATGTACATTATTTTTGTACTGAATGTACATTATATAATATAATATACACTCAGAACAAAAATAATGTACAACCCCTGAATACAATGTACATTATTTTTGTACTAAATGTACATTATTTTACAGTAGACAAAATAATGATTGTGTTAAGTGACCCGACTAAATATGTATACTCCCTCCGTCTCATTTTGTGTGTCTGTTTCGGTTAACGAGGCTTGAATAAAATTATTTTTATTTCATTTCTTCATAATATTAAATTTAGTATTAATATACAAAATTTATATATTTAGAAATTACACTAAAAGTACTATTAAACAAAAAAAAAATCAAATTTATATATACATACATATATATAGGGAGCAGTTCACGTGCGAAGACTCTCATAGGTGAAAAATACGGTGAAATCTGAGCCGTTGATCTAATATAGATCAACGGTTCAAATCAAGAAAAATTATTTGTAAAAAACGCACTTCTGCCATCATGCATATATGCAAATAATCAATTGTCTCAAACTACGCACTTTAAGATATAAAACTACGCACCTTAAGTTATAAAACCAAACAACTTAAGGTATAAAACAACGCACCTTAAGTTTAAATTGATGCACCTTAAACTAAAAAGTGACACACCTTAAGCTTTAAATATACGCACTTTAAGCTATGGAAAGACGCACCAAAAGCGTTAGGCTAACGCACCTTACAGTTTCACACAGAAAACGCACCTTAAGTTCTCAACTGAAAAACTGACGCACCTTAAGCATAGAAACTACGCACCTTAAGAAGGAAAACGACGCACTTTAAGAAGGAGAACGACGCACCTTAAGTTTGACCGATACGCAAAAAGACCAAATTACCACCGCGTTTTTTACAATTTTTTTTTCTTCAGTCTAGGCTGTTGATTTTAATTAAATCAAAAGCTGAGATTAAACCCCATCTTTTACTTGAAG